GATAGAGAAGAGACGCTTAGCTGTAAAGGTCTGAACGTTTGAAACGTCGCTCGTTTGAACATTTTCTGGAAATAGCGATAGAGAAGAGACAGCTTAGCTGTGAAGGTCTGAACTGGAGAACTAAGAAACGTAGGTCGTTTGAACATTTGCTATGGAAATAGCGATAGAGAAGAGACAGGCTTAGCTGTGAAGGTTTGAACTGGTGGAATTAAGAAACGTCGCTCGTTTGAACATTTGCTAAATAGCGATAGAGAAGAGACAGGCTTAGCTGTGAAGGTCTGAACTGGTGGAATTAAGAAACGTCGCTCGTTTGAACATTTGCTATGGAAATAGCGATAGAGAAGAGACAGGCTTAGCTGTGAAGGTCTGAACTGGTGGAATTAAGAAACGTCGCTCGTTTGAACATTTGCTATGGAAATAGCGATAGAGAAGAGACAGGCTTAGCTGTGAAGGTCTGAACTGGTGGAATTAAGAAACGTCGCTCGTTTGAACATTTGCTATGGAAATAGCGATAGAGAAGAGACAGGCTTAGCTGTGAAGGTCTGAACTGGTGGAATTAAGAAACGTCGCTCGTTTGAACATTTGCTATGGAAATAGCGATAGAGAAGAGACAGGCTTAGCTGTGAAGGTCTGAACTGGTGAATTAAGAAACGTCGCTCGTTTGAACATTTGCTATGGAAATAGCGATAGAGAAGAGACAGGCTTAGCTGTGAAGGTCTGAACTGGTGGAATTAAGAAACGTCGCTCGTTTGAACATTTGCTATGGAAATAGCGATAGAGAAGAGACAGGCTTAGCTGTGAAGGTCTGAACTGGTGGAATTAAGAAACGTCGCTCGTTTGAACATTTGCTATGGAAATAGCGATAGAGAAGAGACAGGCTTAGCTGTGAAGGTCTGAACTGGTGGAATTAAGAAACGTCGCTCGTTTGAACATTTGCTATGGAAATAGCGATAGAGAAGAGACAGGCTTAGCTGAAGGTGAAAGGTCTGAACTGGTGGAATTAAGAAACGTCGCTCGTTTGAACATTTGCTATGGAAATAGCGATAGAGAAGAGACAGGCTTAGCTGTAAAGGTCTGAACTGGTGGAACTAAGAAACGTCGCTCGTTTGAACATTTCCTATGAAAATAGCGATAGAGAAGAGACAGGCTTAGCTGTGAAGGTCTGAACTGGTGGGAAACGTCGCTCGTTTGAACATTTGCTATGGAAATAGCGATAGAGAAGAGACAGGCTTAGCTGTGAAGGTCTGAACTGGTGGAATTAAGAAACGTCGCTCGTTTGAACATTTGCTATGGAAATAGCGATAGAGAAGAGACAGGCTTAGCTGTGAAGGTCTGAACTGGTGGAATTAAGAAACGTCGTCGTTTGAACATTTGCTATGGAAATAGCGATAGAGAAGAGACAGGCTTAGCTGTGAAGGTCTGAACTGGTGGAATTAAGAAACGTCGCTCGTTTGAACATTTGCTATGGAAATAGCGATAGAGAAGAGACAGGCTTAGCTGTGAAGGTCTGAACTGGTGGAATTAAGAAACGTCGCCCGTTTGAACATTTGCTATGGAAATAGCGATAGAGAAGAGACAGGCTTAGCTGTGAAGGTCTGAACTGGTGGAATTAAGAAACGTCGTTCGTTTGAACATTTGATATGGAAATAGCGATAGAGAAGAGACAGGCTTAGCTGTAAAGGTTTAAGAAACGTCGCTCGTTTGAACATTTGCTATGGAAATAGCGATAGAGAAGAGACAGGCTTAGCTGTGAAGGTCTGAACTGGTGGAATTAAGAAACTCGTTTGAACATTTGCTATGGAAATAGCGATAGAGAAGAGACAGGCTTAGCTGTGAAGGTCTGAACTGGTGGAATTAAGAAACGTCGCTCGTTTGAACATTTGCTATGGAAATAGCGATAGAGAAGAGACAGGCTTAGCTGTGAAGGTCTGAACTGGTGGAATTAAGAAATGTCGCTCGTTTGAACATTTGCTATGGAAATAGCGATAGAGAAGAGACAGGCTTAGCTGTGAAGGTCTGAACTGGTGGAATTAAGAAACGTCGCTCGTTTGAACATTTGCTATGGAAATAGCGATAGAAGAGAAGAGAGGTCTGAACTGGTGGAATTAAGAAACGTCGCTCGTTTGAACATTTGTGGAAGGTCTGAGGTCTGAACTGGTGGAATTAAGAAACGTCGCTCGTTTGAACATTTGCTATGGAAATAGCGATAGAGAAGAGACAGGCTTAGCTGTGAAGGTCTGAACTGGTGGAATTAAGAAACGTCGCTCGTTTGAACATTTGCTATGGAAATAGCGATAGAGAAGAGACAGGCTTAGCTGTGAAGGTCTGAACTGGTGGAATTAAGAAACGTCGCTCGTTTGAACATTTGCTATGGAAATAGCGATAGAGAAGAGACAGGCTTAGCTGTGAAGGTCTGAACTGGTGGAATTAAGAAACGTCGCTCGTTTGAACATTTGCTATGGAAATAGCGATAGAGAAAGCTTAGCTGTGAAGGTCTGAACTGGTGGAATTAAGAAACGTCTCGTTTGAACATTTGCTATGGAAATAGCGATCTTGCTGTGAAGGTCTGAACTTGGAATTAAGAAACGTCGCTCGTTTGAACATTTGCTATGGAAATAGCGATAGAGAAGAGACAGGCTTAGCTGTGAAGGTCTGAACTGGTGGAATTAAGAAATGTCGCTCGTTTGAACATTTGCTATGGAAATAGCGATAGAGAAAGACAGGCTTAGCTGTGAAGGTCTGAACTGGTGGAATTAAGAAACGTCGCTCGTTTGAACATTTGCTATGGAAATAGCGATAGAGAAGAGACAGGCTTAGCTGTGAAGGTCTGAACTGGTGGAATTAAGAAACGTCGCTCGTTTGAACATTTGCTATGGAAATGAAGCTGATAGAAGAAGAAGACAGGCTTAGCTGTGAAGGTCTGAACTGGTGGAATTAAGAAACGTCGCTCGTTTGAACATTTGCTATGGAAATAGCGATAGAGAAGAGACAGGCTTATTGTGAAGGTCTGAACTGGTGGAATTAAGAAACGTCGTTTCCGTTTGAATTTGCTATGGAAATAGCGATAGAGAAGAGACAGGCTTAGCTGTGAAGGTCTGAACTGGTGGAATTAAGAAACGTCGTTCGTTTGAACATTTGCTATGGAAATAGCGATAGAGAAGAGACAGGCTTTGCTGTGAAGGTCTGAACTGGTGGAATTAAGAAACGTCGCTCGTTTGAACATTTGCTATGGAAATAGCGATAGAGAAGAGACAGGCTTAGCTGTGAAGGTCTGAACTGGTGGAATTAAGAAATGTCGCTCGTTTGAACATTTGCTATGGAAATAGCGATAGAGAAAGACAGGCTTAGCTGTGAAGGTCTGAACTGGTGGAATTAAGAAACGTCGCTCGTTTGAACATTTGCTATGGAAATAGCGATAGAGAAGAGACAGGCTTAGCTGTGAAGGTCTGAACTGGTGGAATTAAGAAATGTCGCTCGTTTGAACATTTGCTATGGAAATAGCGATAGAGAAGAAACAGGCTCAGCTGTGAAGGTCTGAACTGATGGAACTAAGAAACGTCGCTCGTTTGAATATTTTCTCTGGAAATAGCGATAGAGAGAAGCTTAGCTGTGAAATTCTTAACTTGTAGAACTAAGAAATGTAGGTCGTTTGAATATTTGCCTTGGAAATATTGATAAAGGAATGTTTACCTCTAAAAGTCTGAACTTGTAGAATTAAGAAATGTATCTCGTTTGATTATTTGCTATGGAAAATTTAGGATTATACTTGTGGCGTTTAAAAGAGGTTAAGCGAAAACAGTTTTTCCTTGGAAATAATGGCTTTTTGGACGAGACGGATTATATCATTAATCTGAAGGAATAAATTTAGTATGAACAAATTTTTTTCTTTGATGGAATTAAGAAACGTCGCTCGTTTGCTCATTTTGGGCTCAATTTAGGATTATACTATAAATTGGACGATAATTATATCATTAATCTGAATAATTTAGTGCTCGTATCTTTCTTTCAGGGTAATTAAGTAATTAACTGATCTCCCAATAATCACTTCATATTAATTAATATAATAGATGAACAATATATATTAATAGACACTTACGTAATAACTCTCTAGTAATAGTAAGGGTTAAAAATTATGCTGTCAATTTTGATGGCTTGGTTATGGATATTGCTAGTCATAAAGTGGGGGATTTATTTTCTATTGTTATTAAGTAATAAACTGATCCTCCATGAATTACTGCATGATGATATAAAAAAATGGACAATATATATTTATAGACACATACGTAAGAACTTTCTCGTAATAGTAAGGGCTAAAAATTATGGTATCCATTTTGATGGCATGATTATAGATATTGCTGGTCGTAAAGAGGGGGGGTCTGTTTTCTATTCTTATTAAGTAATAAACTGATCCCCCAAGAATTACTACATAATAATAAAATAAAAAGGGGAAATCTATATATTGAAAGACATAAATTAATTAGTCAATTTTCTGAATGTTTCATTCCTATGTTTTAACGAAGATTGGCTCGGATCATTTGATTCCAGCTATTCTCCATTTGGTCTTCCATTCCATAACATAGAAGCTGATTTCGATATTTTTCTCTTACTAATGTGATACTTTTTCGTTTTTCCTTCCTTTTTTGATCTTAAGATATTTACAGCCATTTTTTAAAAATTCCCTTTGTTTTCGTTTTTATTATTTTTCTTTCGTCTTCTTTTTTAACGACTCGACCCCGCCATTTTCTGCATGACATCTTTCTTCGTCAAGCGCTTTATTTCCTTTCTTAACTAAAATCTTAACCTTTATCTTTCCCACATATCGGCATAAACTATGCCTCTTGCATAACCCTCTACCTCAATGACTCCCGGGGCTTGTACAGGATGAGCATCACTGTAAAAATTCATTTTCTTCTTTTTTCATAAAGAATTATTTTTCAATCTTTCTTCCAAATCTTTAATTACTATACATTTTTTTATATTTGCTTCTCTAACTTAATTAGGTTTTCCTTGTCTGTTTTACTTTTTTGTTTTTCCTCCTCCATCTCCTCTTCTTTTTCTTCTTTTCCTCCTCCTCTACTTCTTCTTCTTCTCGTTTTTCTTTTTCTTCTTCTTCTTCTTCTTCTTCTTCTTCTTCTCTGTCTTTTTCTTCTTTTTCTCCTTCTTCTTCTTCCTCTTCTCCTTCTTCTCCTCCTTCTTTTTCTTCTTCTCCTTCTTCTTATTCTCCCCTCCTCCTTCTTCTTCTTCTTTTTCTTTTTCTTTTTCTTTCTTATTCTTCTTCTTCCTCTTTTCCTTTTTCCTCTTCTTCTTCTTTTTCTTTTCCTTTCTCTTTTTCTTCTTTTCCTTTTTCTTCTTCTTCTTTTTCTTTTCCTTTTCTTCTTTTTTTTCTTCTTCTTCTTCTTTTCCTTTTCTCTTTTTTCTTTTTTCTTTTTCTTTTCTTCTTTTCTTTTCTTTTCTTTTCTTCTTTCTTCTTCTTCTTCTTCTTCTTCTTCTTCTTCTTCTTTCATAACTCATTTATCATTTTCTTCTTTCTATTTTTTTCTGTCTTTTTCTTTTTCGGTGTCTTTGTTTTATTTCTTTCTCCCCCCCCCTTCCTCCTGTGTTTGGAAACAAGACAAAATGATGTCCATATCTTGTCTCTCATATAATTTCACGCCGGAAACCCATTATCCTCAACTTCCTTATCAAATGCTTAACTGATCTGTACCGCATAAAGAAGTCTACGTAGCCATAGAACTCGATTACTCTAATCTAAAAAGCGACGCCTCGTCCCTCAGAAATTCACCCAAAGAGCTTAGTGGCAAGAGATTTCTCAGGTCACCATGTTTGCGGTTCGAGTGACACTTCAATTATGGCTTCAAGCATAAAACCTTAGGAGGTACGGTAGAGTAATGGAGAGCGGCTTGGAGAGGAATCGGAGAGCCGAGTTCGAATTCTAGTCGGATCCATTACATTCACTTACATGCCAATGCCCTTGGAAAATGTATGAATCCATTTCTCTCCCTACCCCCGCCAGCTATGAGTCAATAACAGGACAGACTGGGTTCTATAACCTTGGATTGCAACCGGCCTAGGAGAAGGAAAATCTCTGAATTCAATCCTGCCTGGAGAGGGTTGGGCTCCATCTGGCTATATCGCTCAGGGAACACCATTCTACTCTGGCTGCAGTACGCATGGTATCGCCACGACCCTACGGGTCACAGGATAAAAAATATATAAACTTATTTAAAAATAGGTAACAGCAAAAATTTTCTAAAAAGAGCATAGCACGATGAAAAAGGTTCCAAACTTGATAAAAACAAAGTTTAAACGTCAAAATGTTTGTTATCATTAATAGAAAGGACCAAAATATTCCAGGGACAATTAAAAATACAGCTATTGTCGGGTTAAAAAAATAATTTCTGCGATATTATAAACTAAAAGTAAATAATATTTGTTTCAAATCAGATTAATTATACTTTAGATATTCCTCTGATAAAGTTTCCGAAAAGTATATTTTTTAGAAGATTTTTTAATGAAGAGAATTACATTGCGATGAAAGACAACAAAAGAAGTGTGCTAATCAGCAATTTTAGCGAAAAAAAATATTCCTTCCAGTCAATTTTTATTAATTTTGAAATACAGTAAAGTATTTTGTTTCCTGTAAATAGTAATTTTTATCAATTAGCTTGAAATTAAAACTAAAATAAAAGCTTAAAGAAATATTTTCATTTTTTTAAAAATCCGTTTTAAACTATAGGTATCGCAATTTTTGTGGTGTCAGCCATTTTAACATTTTGGCATTTAAAGTTTGCTGGTGGACGCAGATAGGTGCCAACAGACAAGTGATGAATTTTTTTTTTTTTTTTTAAGCGTTTCACCCCAAGCAAGGCGGGAAGCCACTAGGACGCAAGGGGTTACAAAAGATTTGGAGCAAGATCAGATAGGAGTGATAGAAGAAAGGATGAGGAGAAGGGTAGTGGATAGATCAAGACAACTGGAGATGTCGATTGACATTACATTTGAATAGTTGGAGATTATAGCTATCAGGGAAACAGGCAAAGGGAAGGGAGTTCCACAGGCGAGAGATGCGAGACATAAAGCTATTAGAGTAGAAGAGAGGGCTACATTTAACAGTGAAAGGGTGGGAGCGGGATGCCAGCCTAGTAGGGCCGTTGAATTCATGAAATTTGGGAACCAGCGAATGCAGCTCCTCGGAGAAATTACCATGAAAGTATTTGTAAAAGAGACAGAAGGAGGCGACTGCACTTCTGTGAGAAAGTGACTGTAGACGAGATGCCAGATCAGGGCCAATTATATTGCATATCCGCCTCTGGATCTTATCAAGAACCCCGAGGCAAACAGATGGGGCTCCAGACCATATATGGCAGCAATACTCCATGCAAGGGCGAATTGTTGATTTGTAGATCTGAAGGATCGATTCCGGGGAGAAAAATTTCCAGGCGCGGCACAGAGAGCCAACTTTCCATGCGGTAGACGAAGCAATTGACTCAATGTATTTGTTCCATCTCAGGTCAGCAGTCAACGTGAGACCGAGCAGCCGCAGAGAGGTGTTCTCGAGAAGTTGAGCGTCAGACATTCTAATGGAGGGTAGGGAAGGATCTATTTTGGGCGCAAAGTTCCGATTCAATTGCGTTATTAAATGTCTGATTATTGTTGACGTTTCTTTTGTCTGCAGGTTGCAGTCACGTTGTCGAAATCTGTAGCAAAATATCACTCAATGTTATGTTGAATTTTCTGAAGTTTTTCATATACCAGAGGAAAAAAGAAACATTAGAAATGAAAGTGACTAAGAAAGAAACATTTTCATTAGACTTTTAAAGAGAACGTTATGTTGAATTATCGACAGTTTTTTTTTTTTTCATATGCAAACGTAAAAAAAAGAGTCTTTTGTGATTTCTCTAACGAGGACAATATCTTTTTTTACATATTAACCAGCACTATTGTTTTTATAGCTATAACCTTTCAGCTGTTGTACACACCGGACTTCTTCAACTGTTTGTCGGGAATCTTAGAAATTTTGAACCGATCCCTTTATCTAGTCTGAAGGAATAATTCGTTCTCATTTCATATCAAACTTAATTCTTCCAATTTTCGGCTGTGTAATGTTGTTTTATTTTAATTGTTCTACCTAAAAGTCTTGAAGAATAATGAAAGTGTAGTATCTGTTCTCCTTATCTCTGATGATATTGGTAATATTTACAGTCTTCTCATAAGGACACGTTCGGCGTTCATTGATTTTACACTTTTCATCATTCACTGGCCTTCAAGTTGGAATCTAAGTGTACTATATGCTTTCTTCATCTCTAATTGGCCGTTTTCTTATAATGACATATTTGGCATTCATTGACCAAACAGACAGTGCTATTAAAGTTAAACTATTCTTCACTCCCTAGACATTGAGCTGGGATCAAAGTGTAGTGTCTGTTCTACTCATCTCTAATAGTAATGTTAATATTAGTCGTTTCCTTATAAGGAAACATTCGGCATTCATTGAGCAAGCAGCCAGTGCATCTGTCGGTTGTAATTTATAAAATCTTTCTCTAAAAACAAGAAAAATAGGTTTCTCAAGTCCAGTAGCTGTTATCGCTCTTTCCATTATCGATGGGGGTTTCCTTCGTAACCTTTTGTTTGAAGTAATGTGGAAATCAGTATCATTATGACGTTATTAATTCCTAGTCGAGATACAGGTGATATCTATTTTTGTTGTCACTGATGTTGGAAGTCATCAACTGATATGTTCTCTGTGATTATGTAGTGCCAGTCCACGCAATTCGAAGAAGGATGATCATCACTAAGACTGATATGTTTCACTAGATTGAAAGTCATTTCTAACCATTGATCTGAGAAAGCGGTTGAATACTTCTGACAGTTTACATATTTCTGAACGATATTCACACCATTTTGATATCCATATGAAAGTCTCGAGCTAAAAATTTTTTATAAACATGACCAGAGTTTTTAAGTTAATGTTTTTATTTATATCTATATTTCTGAGATGAGGTATTATGTACACTATTTAAATGATTCGGACTATTGTCCTCATCTTTGTCGCCATATTTATTACAAGGTTTCGGCCTTTCAGTATCTGTCTATATTTCTGAGATGAGGTATTATGTACACTATTTACATTATTCGGACTATTGTCCTCATCTTTGTTGCCATATTTATCACAACGTTTCGGCCTTTCAGTATCTGTCTATATTTCTGAGATGAGGTATTATGTTCACTATTTACATTATTCGGACTATTGTCCTCATCTTTGTCGCCATATTTATTACAACGTTTCGGCCTTTCAGTATCTGTCTATATTTCTGAGATGAGGTATTATGTACACTACTTACATTATTCGGACTATTGTCCTCATCTTTGCCTTTCAGTATCTGTCTATATTTCTGAGATGAGGTATTATGTACATTATTTAGATTATTCGGACTATTGTCCTCATCTTTGTCGCCAAAACATGAACATTGACTTGGTTCAGGAATAGATAAATACTGGTTGTTTATATTTGAGTCAATAAACATTTACTTGTTTCAGGAATAGATGAATATTGGTTGTTTATATTTGAGTCTATAAACATTGACTTGGTTCAGGAATAGATAAATATTGGTTGCTTATATTTGAGTCCATAAACATTGAATTGGTTCAGGAATAGATAAATACTGCTTGTCTATATTTGAGTCTATAAACATTGACTTGGTTCAGGAATAGATAAATATTGGTTGTTTACATTTTAGTCAATAAACATTTACTTGGTTCGGGAATAGATAAATTCTGGTTGTTTATATTTGAGTCTATAAACATTGACTTGGTCCAGAAATAGATACATATTGGTTGTTTATATATGAGTCTATAAACATTTACACGTTTCTGGAATAGATAAATATTGGTTGTTTATATTTGAGTGTGTAAACCTATACATGGTTCAGATATAGATATTAGTGGTTTATATTTGAGTCTATAGGCATTTACTTGGTTGGGCGATAGGTATATACTGGTTGCTTATATTTGTGTCTATGAACATTTACCTTTTTTTCTACAAATATTTTCATTCTAATTGTTCTGATGAATCTTACACTTTGATACTTGGAATTTAAGAGCAAAATCTAGATTGGCTGATAGGTCTCATAATTTTACTATTTAATTTGCTGTTTTAGTCATATGATCTATTCTAATAGTTTATTCTCCGGCTCTTCTCGTTTGTAGAACTCTTTTCCGGCCTTTCTGTCAAATCCGATCTTCAAAGATTTAAATTCATAGTCGTCTTCTGCTGCTTGAATCCTGTTCTTTTATTGCCTTCTCTGTTTCTTTTATTTTTCTCTTTGTTCCTTTTTTGTCCAGTCTATTTCTTTTATTGCTCTTTCTGTTTCTTTTATTGTCCTCTCTGTTTCTTTTATTGCCCTCTTTAGGTTTTTATTGTCCTCTCTGTTTCTTTGTCTTTTCTGTTTCTTTTATTGTCCGGACTGTTTCTTTTATTGTCCGAACTGTTTCTTTTATTACCTTCATTGCTTCTTTTATTGTACTTTGTTTTTTATTGCACTCACTGTTTCTTTTATCCTCCACTCTGTTTCTTTTATTGTCCTCATTGTTTTTTTTTTATTGTCTTTTCTGTTTCTTTTATTGTCCTCTCTGTTTCTTTTATTATCCATTCTGTTTCTTTTACTCTAATTCACCTGAAGTGTAATGGATGACGGCTGTGAATAAGAAACCGGAAAGTCGAATTTCAGTCAGGTTCACGCATTCAATTATGCGCAAATATAAAAAATGTATGAATCTTTTCCTTTTCTCCCCGCCCCCAGCTATTGGTTGAATAGCAGGTCAGATTGTGTCTTATAGAGCTGATTGGTGACCAGTCAACCGCAGAAAGAAACAGTAGCCTATTGCGGGAAAATCTTCAGCCTCGTCAGTCATGAATCGAAAGATACATGGTCGGCTAAACATGTATCACGGTCGCACTTAACTGACTGACTAAACCTATTGCATGTTAGTGGTTTTATCGCCTTACTTCAGATAAAATTATTTTTTTAATTTTGGGGGTAATAGGTAAATATTGATTGTTTATATCTGAGTCTGTGATAATTTATTTGGTTCAAGAATATGTAAATATTGGTTTCGGGTCGCTAAGTACAGATGAGGCTCTTCTTAGGTGGTACTCTTATTTCTCTGATGATTATGCTGTTGTATTCATTCTTTGTCTCGCCACGGAGGCGTCAATATGTATAAGGTGTTAAGTTAGAAACAAACTCAAAAAGTTACAATAACTGAAAATCCAGTTGGTATCGAACTCATTGCGCTATGTTTGAGACTAAATTATTAATCCTCTAATTGAGACTACACACTATAAGCAAAACTAATCAGCTCTACAAACTGACACCTAATTCAAACGTCACGAATAAAGGCAACCAATAATGAAAAAAAAAGAGAAGAATGTACATTGGGAGAGAGAGCGAAAGCGAGATAACCTGAGGGAGTGACTCAGGTCGAATACCCATAAAAGAACTCTTTAATAATCAAGATGGCGTCTTCACTAAGTAACAATTACTTATGAGGCTTATATTAAGAGGTCGGTAATTATCATTACTCACAATCACAAGGACGACGGGATTGTGCATTTAAGAGGTTCCCGACGCGACTGGCGCTTCAAAAGTGAAAATCATCACAAATTGTCAGGAATGAATCATTCAAGTGGCAGACGATAATAACTTCCGATAGTAAATCGGGCTTTCTTTCTTGCTTTCTTTCTTTCTTTTTGTTAAATACATTGAGATAATGTTTTCCTCCTTTCTTTTTCTTTCTTTCTTTGTTGCTTTTTTTTCTTTCTTTCTTTTTGTTAAATACAATGAGATAATGCTTTCGTCCTTTCTTTTTCTTTCTTTCTTTCTTTCTTTACTGCTTTCTTTCTTTACTGCTTTCTTTCTTTCTTTCTTTCTTTTTGTTAAATATATTGAGATGATTTTTCCTCCTTTCTTTCTTTTTCTTTCTTTCTTTGTTGCTTTCTTTTTCGTTCTTTCTTTTTGTTAAAAACAATGGGATGTTTTCTTCCTTTCTTTTTCTTTCTTTCTTTGTTTCTTTCTTTCTTTCTTTTTGTTAAATACACTGAGAAAATGCTTTCCTCCTTTCTTTTTCTTTCTTTCTTTCTTTCTTTCTTTTTGTTAAATATATTGAGATAATGTTTTCCATGTTTCTTTTTCTTTCTTTCTTTGCTGTTTTCTTTTTTCTTTCTTTTTATTTAATACATTGAAATAATGATTTTTCCATGTTTCTTTTTCTTTCTTTCTTTCTTTCTTTCTTTCTTTCTGTCAAATAATCTGAAATAATGAATTTCCAATCTTTTTTTTTGCTAGAATACAGTCAAAGAATTATTTTCTACCCATTCTTCTTTTCTTTCCTCTTTTTTCTTTCTTTCCTCTTTCTTTCTTGAAATATTTTTTTCAGAGAACATTCTTTTATTTTTCCTTTTTTCTTTCTTTCTTTATTTATTCATTTATTCTTGTTGAAATATTTCCTGCGGTGAGCCTTTTTCCTTTCTTTCTTATTTTTTATTAAATATATTGTGATAATGAGTTTTCCTTCATTTTTTCGTTCTTCCATTGTTTCTTTCTTTCTTCCTGTCTGTCTCTCTTTTCTTTTTCTGTTAAATCTATTGAGATAATTAATTTTCAATCTTTCTTTTTGGCTGAATACACTCAAATAATTATTTTCTCTTGCTTTCTTTCCTTCTTTCTTTCTTTAGTAATTTATTTTCCTTTAAATACTTTTTAAGGTGAGCCTACTTTATTTCTTTCTTTATTTGCTTACTTATTTGTTTATTTATTTACTTATTTTTATTCAAATATTTCTTTTGGTGTTCTTTCTTTCTTTCTTTCTTTCTTTCTTTCTTACTTTCTTTCTTTCTTTCTTTCTTTCTTTCTTTCCCTGGTCTGTGTTCGTTCTTTTTCTGCCATCTACAATTTTCAAAAATTTAAATGCAGCATTAAGGGGTCAAGATTATAGTGATTGGGAAAGCACCCCGCCGGGTGTTTGTTCAAACGTCCGAGTGGAAATTCCTTTTTACCACTAAAATACGAAGGATGATTCACCGTTGTGTATGTGAAATTTTAACGCCTCCAAAATAACACTGCTTTCATTTAAATCACCATAGAGAAACATGGCTGATCCTGACATGAAATGGAGTGACTCCATTGAATCAATTGCTACGTCCACTGCAAGGAAAGATCGCTCAATGCGTCGTGCGAAACAATTTTTCTCTTCAGAATCCATCTTGGGCATTTATAAATCTACCATTCGTCTGTTCATAGAATGTTGCTAACATCTGCAACAAAAACCAAAGATGGGTCGTGTTGAATGGACACGCTTCCAGATCATTTCATACAAACGCGGGTGTCTCCTTAGATCTACGCCGTTTCTTATCCTCATTAAAGAACTCTTCGATATCATCAATTCTCAACTAAGTATTTATGCAGATGACACAGCTATTTACTCATGTCTTCGTAACAAGTCCGATAGACACGACAAAGTAAAAATGGCAACTGCACTCGAAAAAGAACCCAAATCTGGGATTAACTGTAACAAGAAATAGTTTGTAAATTGTAATACCTCCAAAACAAAACTGCTTCCATTTAATCACCATAGAGAAACTTTTCGGTCTGCTATCACCATGGCTGATGTTAGACTCCAGGAGGGCAACACTCTACGCCTTCTTGGACTTATATTTTCTACTGACATGAAATGGAATGACTCCATTGAACCAATTGCTACGTCTACTGGAAGGAAAGTTGGTGCCTGACAATTTTTCTCGTCAGAATCCATCTTGGACATTTATAAATCTACCATTCTCTCTGTGCATTGAATATTACTAACATCGCGACAAAAACCAAAGAAGAGTCGTATTGAATGGACACGCTTCCAGATTATTTCATACAAACCATTACATTAAACTCACTTCTTTGAATTTTGTGAAGAATCTTGAGATATATCACAGGAGCACCTGACCAGATATGGCACTAGTATTCTATGCACAGGCGAATGGTAGATTTATAAATAAGCTACATGGATTTTGACGAGGAAAAAACTTTCTGTCACGACACATTGAACTAACTTACCTAGGAGTAGACTTTAGCGATTCATTCAGTTTTAACACTCCCCTACATGTAAGTTGAAACGTGAGCCCCAAAAGGCGTAGAGTGTAATTCCCTAAAGTAGCATCAGTCATGCCGATGGTAGACAGAAAAATTTCTCTGTGGTGATTAAATGAAATGGTTGGCATGGTGAAATTCCAGTATTTTGTTGTTTTTTTTTTTCTTGCACAGTTCTCGGTGCGTTGACTTTCCCACCCACTCAAATCCTATTTATTATTATTATTATTATTCTTTTTATTTTCTTTGATTTCTGGCGTTTACATTTCTTTCCGGGTCCCCCCAGGACCTAAGGTTAGAAATGGCGTCATGACACTTTCCACTGACAAAAAAAAAAAAAAAAAAAAAAAAGATTACATAGATAAAGCCCTTCGTAAGGTGTGGGCTGTATTTGTCAGAACAATTTTCTGTATCTCCTTGAGGCATGGACTTCCAGGAATCCCTTCAATTAGTCTACTGGAATCTCTTCCAACCAGTCCTAGGGCTCCAACTACAACAGGGATTGTTGATGTTCCCATATACCACATTTTCGCGATTTCTATTTCAAGGTCCTTGTACTTTGACAACTTTTTGAATATCTTCAAAGATACATTGCAGTCGGCAGGGACTGCCATATCAATAAGGAGGCACCGATTTTGTTTGTGGTCTTTAATAACAATATCTGGGCGGTTGGCCTTGATTGTTCTGTCAGTGTGTATTGTGTAGTCCCATAGAATTGTAACAGGTCCTATCTCCGTAACCGGCTCTGGGTGGTGTTCATACCAGTTTCTTTCAGTTTTCTTCCCGTAGAAGTTGCAGATTTTCCAGTGCAGATATTAGCCCACTCTGTCATGTCGGGTTTTATATTCAGTGGGTGCCAACACCGTACAACCTGCTACAAGATGATTATTATTATTATTATTATTATTATTATTATTATTATTATTTAACTTTATTTCCATCGTTAATATTTTTCATTTTTCTTATTTTCTTACAGCGTTTTTTCTGATTTAATTTTTTTTTCATTCTTTCATTTCTTTATAGATTCCTTTTGGAAAAGGTATTTATTATCACATTTCTTACTTTGATTGTCTCTTCCTTTTTATCGGCTTCTTTCTTTCATTCGATATTTTCTCTTTCTTTTCGTTCATTATTTTTTTTTCTGTTTTTTCTTTCTTTCTTTCATTTTTCATTTCCAATCTTTTTTCCTTCATTACGCTTCATTTTCTTTTATTCCATCACTTTCTTCTTTTTCAATTTCTTTGAGAAATTCGCACTTTTTTCTTTCTCGTTTAAGGATTTTTCGCTTTTACTCTTTTTCTTCCTTCCTTCTTTCTTTCTTTCTTTCTTTTCTTACTTTCTCTTTTCTTTCCACTTTTCGTTTCCTGTTTTATTATTCACTATATTTCATTTTCTTTCTTTCTTTCTTTCTTTCAGTTCGTCGTTTTCTTCTTCCCTTTTTGTAGAAATTCGGGCCTTTATCTTTCTCAATTAACAATGTCTTTTTTTACTCTTTTCTTTCTTTTCCTTATTTTTTCTTTCTTTTTTGAAGTT